GTACACACACACACAAACACAATCCAAATGTACACACACACACACAAACACAATCCAAATGTATACACATACAAATACAGACCAAATGTACACCCACACACACAAACACAGACCAAATGTATACACACATATACAGACCAAATGTATACACACACATACACAGACCAAATGTACACACACACACACAACACAGACCAAATGTACACACACACACACAACACAGACCAAATGTACACACACACACACAACACAGACCAAACATACACACACACAAACACAGACCAATTGTGGCATACACACACACACACACACACACTGCAAGCACAGATGAGTGCACACACCCTGATGACATTGGGATGGTCCAAGCGTTTCATGATGGCTATTTCGCGTTTGATGTCTGAGCTAATACTGCCCACGGGTGCGTTGGTGTCTGTGTTCCTGTCGGTGTTGCTCATGCCGTAGTTTTTCCTTTGCAGTTTCTTCTTATTGATCTCCTGCGCAGTGGGTGGTAGTACAATAGTTGGGTGGGTTAATTGATGGTGTTTATATACGTATATGCACACAAACATACACACACACATCTGTGTCTACGTATATGTACACTCATACACACAACTTTAAATGCCGCACTCACACACATCTGTATCTACGTATATGCAAACACTTCACACTCACTCACTCACATCTGTATCTACGTATATGCACACACACATGCACACACACACATACACACACACACCTTCATTGCATACACGCCATCGTCATCGGCACTGGTGACCTTTCTGACCACTCCGAAAGCGCCCCTCCCTAGCACCTCATGTACCGTGTACTGGTTGATAGTCTTCTCATACTCCTCATCACTGGATTGCTCGTTCACTACGTTGGTCTCGATAACCTATGTGTGCAAGTAAGGTTGAAAGCGGATCAGGTGGGGCAGATATGAACACTATATCCCAAACCCTAAAAACTATGATTACAAATGTAACTAACTTTTTCGATTTCGATTATATGTTCACATATACTGCAGAAGTGCTTATATATTCACCTATACTGCAGAAGTGCTTATATTTCCCTATACTTTATACTCTATAATTTCGTCTGTATTTCCCTATACTGCAGAAGTACTTATATATTTACCTACATATAAATCGAGAGGTTTCCGGTACTATTAAGAGCGTAGCATGATCGTCCATATTCACAAACGCACGTCCTAATAATCCTTGTGTGATAGCCGGATCAACAAGGGACCGGCAAGAGAACGACTCAGCAACTGTGCCTAGAGCCACCACAACATTACTATTTAACCCTTAAAATATGTATAAATCAATAGATAAATAAATCAATAGGTAGATAAATCAATCGATAAATAAACCAATAGATAAATAAATCAATAGGTAAATAAATCAATAGGTAAATAAATCAATAGGTAAATAAATCAATAGGTAAATAAATCAATAGGTAAATAAATCAACAGATAATACAGGGCATCACAGATAGGCCTGCGTGCTCATCCTTGCCCTCATCCTCGTACGCGTACTCAGACACATACTAAAGTGGATATCTCAGTCACCTTTGTGTTGTACACTCAGACTCATACTAAAGTGG